AGACCCAGCAGGAAGCCAGAAGCAGAGCAGTGAGTCCCTGACCTTCCTTCAAGTGGCCTTTCTCAATTCCAGTTTCTGTTCTGCATACAATATCAATGCATAGTGTCATTTCATGTTTGGAAAGGGGCACAATAAGGAACAAAATCAAAAACCAAACAACATTCCCCAGGCCAGACTTGAGAGAATTCTAAGTGCTGCAAGACTCAGCTTGTCTACAGGGAGGACATTTCATTCTTCCAGGCAGATTGTCACCATAAGTATGCCAAGATGCTGCCTACACATAACCATTTAATACACATAATCAAACACCTTTGATCTCATTAGAATATGATTTCTAAGACCTGGATCCTCATATGTTCCCCATCATGTGGTTTCATGATCAGAGCAAAAAATGTCCTAATCACTACACTTAGACAAACCTGTAATGAAAGTTATACAGAAAAGTTACATGTACGGAAGGGGAGATCATCTGTTCTGGACTTGGGTACAAATGGCCTTAGGATTGGAGCCCAGTCTCTAATCTCATTTCAGTTCACAAAACAACTGTGTTTTATGTGTGTCTTTGGATCTGAGTGGACCTAATATTTGTATACTGGGGCCTTTGAATTTATTTAAATACTTTTTCAAATTATATTATACTTTCATTATTTTCCCCTTTCCTCTCCTTTCTCCAAAATCTCCCATGAACCACTTTGATTGCTTTCAAATTTTTGTCTTTTAAAAAATTATTACATATAAACATGTATAAGTACATATGCACATGAACATACACACACACACACATACATGCTCACTCACTCACTCACTCACTCACTCACTCACTCACTCACTCACTCACACATCTTACTCAATCTGAATGATATTACTTGTGTTTTAAGGCCTGACTATTTGGTATTGGGAAGCCAACCAGTATATTGTATGCTGAGAAAGACTGTTTATTTTGTGTTTTGTTCTGTGACTCTTTTGTTTACTGTTAATGTGTTTGTAGTAACTTTTTTAAGATTTCACTATGGTCCAATATTCTAAAAGCAATCTTAGAAGAGAAAAAGAGACTTTGATCTCAGCTTTGAACTAACACATGGGGGCATGGGCCCAGAGTCTGCCTGACAAACGTAGTCATGCACACTTTCTCATGAGGGCATCTGCTGCTGAGGAAAGAAATCTGACAGTGGTTCTTCAAAAAGCTCAGCAAGACAGCTAAGAATGGGACACTATGACACTGGAGGACAAGAACACAGCTTGATCTGAATACCAGTGAGGGAGGCTGTGAGAAAGGAAATGACCGCTGAGGCCTCTGATGGTGTATAACTCAGGAAGCTTGTTCAACTGGCTGTCAAG